AACTAAATCTGAAGCTTTCATCGGAGCAGAATTTGCGAAAATTGTAAGTTCACTTTCTTCTAATTTATCTGCAAGTGTATCTGGAGCATCCTGTAAATGTATGACCATCTTCTCTCCAGGACCTTGCTCATATTCTGGTTCATCTAAAAAATTAAATTTATATTAATTAAACGTTATAATATTATATTTAATTCTATTTAAATTACCATCATCTCCTTCTGCATTGATTTGATCAGATTTCTTTGTGAAACTTCCAGGAATATTGATATACACAGCATCTTTATCGTACATTATTCCACCGACATCGGACATAGGTGCGTAAATAACCTTGTGTTTTTCACTAAGGCTCTTTCGCACTTTATTAGGTAATGGACATGGATCTGGCAGTATGGAAATGTCTGAGAGAATTTGATCTCCAGCACCTGGTATATGAACCTTCATGGTGGGTTTCATATTTGTTCCACGTAAATATCCATATAAAGTAACAGTCCTATCACATAAAGGATTGAGTCTAACTTCTTCGGGATCAGTTAAATCTTCTACACGATCAGCAACCAAATAAGGATGTGTATTCCTCCATATTAACGGCCTAAACTTCATTACAGAAATAAATCTAGAAAGATTTTGAATTTCATGATTTGGATATCGACCATTAATTATTCCTGATAAATAAAAAAGTTTGGCACCCTGATAAATTTCCGTCCAAAAACGATGTTTTAATCGTTTTTTAGTTGTTTTAAGTGTCTTTGTATTTTTGAATTTATCCAGATGTGTGAGAACTCCCATAATTTTTGGAAATCCATGAGTTTGTAAAATATTAAGGAATTCAAATGTTTCCTAAATAATGATATATAAGTTATTAAAGCATTCTTTCCCGGAAAATTTTAAATTGTAATAAATAAATAACTTTACCATCTCAAAACCAAAACTAGCATCAATTAATAACAACACCAAATCCGCGATTTTTGCTATATCAATCATGCAATTCATATCGTTTGTACATTCTATAAAGGTCAACCTCCTTTTTTTACCTTGACAAAAAATAAAAAAAAAATCGATTAAAAGACGAAAAATAGAAAATTTTAGAATGGATCTATAGAAATTATGTAATACCACTCACGACCGTAATGGGACCTTTTATTTCTGTAAGGTTGTGTTTCGTGTATCTCTTTACGAGGGATTTTATTAAAGTAGTTTTACCAGTCTGATTTAAATAAGATTATTCAATTATTAATTAATTTCTATCAATAATAATAATAATAATAATCATAATAACAAAATAATAATTCATTATTAAAGTACCTGTGGAGGTCCTACTACAGCAACAATTACAGGAGGTGGCTCAGTTGGAGTTCTATCAACAAGAGGGACGTGAAGTTTCTTTTGATCCAATTCCTGTTTGCGTCTAGCAAGTTTTTCAGCTTTTCTTCCAGAGAACGGAGCAAAAGCCTTTAAAAAGTAATTTATCAATAATAATAAAAATAATAAATGATTCGATTAAATTAAAATATATATTGAAATATGTACCTTTGGATTATTTTTCTCTTCATTTTTCTTTTGCTTTTTAGATTTTTTATCTTTTTTTGTGCCAGCTTGACGTGGTCTATGAGCCTTTTGTTGTTCTTTGTTATCCATGCAAATTAATTTAGACAGAGAGTATAGTCTGATTAACTTGTAAATTTACAACTCGATTATCTAGATTAATATGATCGACAAAAAAAAAAAAAAATTTTTTTTTTGATACCCCCAAATCAGGGTAGCTTTGATAAAATCGAACATAGATGACAATTTTAACTTCCAGACAGCCTACTGCTGTTTCAGCACCGGGGAAAGTACTTTTAGCAGGAGGATATCTAGTATTAGATAGGAAATATGATGGAATAGTTATTGGAACAAGTGCAAGATTTTACTCGGTAATTTATTCGGGGAAAAATGATTTTGGAGAAATATCTGTTCATTCGCCACAATTTAATGACGGAGAATGGAAATATCGAGTGAATGAAAGTTTTGACGATAGTTTATCTTGTGAACTTCAACCTATGTAAGCTAGTGGATTAAAAACAGTTTTTATTCTTATTAAATGATTCGTATTAACGTAAATGACGTTTTAATTCAAGTAATCCAGAAAAACGTAATTCGTTTGTTGAAATTGCCATAAAGTATTCTTTATCAATTATTTTACATAGAATAAATAAACACAAATTTCAAGAAATATTTGCTAAAGGATTAGATATTTATATTGTTGGTAGTAATGATTTTTATTCGCAACGCGAACAGGTAGAACTTTCTTCATTTTATTCACGTCATTATATTGGCCAGATAATAATTTTTTCTTTCGCCCTCTGTAAAAAAAAAGCTAAGTAAAAGAAATTTACCACTTACATCCTCATCACTAAATTCTCTTGAACCATTTTGTAAAGTACATTGCAATTTAAAAGAAGTTCATAAAACCGGATTAGGTTCTTCAGCAGCATTGATTACATCACTTGTGGCAGCGCTTTTTGTTCATTTTGAAATAGTATCAAATCAAACAGATGATAGAGGATTAATTCATAATGTGGCACAATTTTGCCATTGTTTGGCGCAAGGGAAAGTTGGTAGTGGCTTTGATGTATCTGCCGCTGTTTGGGGAAGTCATATATATAAAAGATTTTCTCCAAGCATTTTAGATGATGTTATGGTATGTTATTTAAGTGAATTTATTAAATTTTTAAATTATAAAAGAAGATTCTTTTTAATAAATAACTTATATTTAGAATCAAAAGGTTAATCTATCAGCTCTTAATAACATTGTTGATCCAGCTTCAAATGTGTAAGTAAAATTATGATTATGTTCTTTTTTTTTTTTTTTTTTAAAAAAAAAAAAGGAAAAAAAAACTAATTTAAATATATTATAGATGGGATAATCAAGCAACAAAATTCTCCCTTCCACCTGAATTTACGTTAGTATTAGCCGATATAGATGCAGGTTCTCATACACCAAGTATGGTCGGAAGAGTATTGAAATGGCATAAAGAAAATGCTGATCAGGGTTAGAGATACTTTCTTTATTAAAGTAAAAA